GGTGCCGCTGACGACGAAGAGGCCTGTGTTGCCTGCTCCGAAGGTGTGTGTGCCCCTCCACGGTTGCGGAAGTGCTTGAGCACCCCACCAGAGTTCGGGAATTCCAGCGGGTTTTGCGACCCTTTTTGCTTGCAGTGGCGGCAGGACAGCCACCCCTGTCTCATTGGGTGCATTCTGAGACCCTTCGGAATAAAGCTCAAAACGTCCTGTGCTTGTATGTCCTCGTAGTGGGGCTCGTTGTTGACCACGTCCATGATGGCATCGAATGAGTTGTCATCGATGCTTTGCACCACGTTCTCCCCCACCTCGCCTAATTTGGGCAATGCCCCCTGCTGCTCCCGTGGAGGCATCTCAATGGTGTGTGCAAAGGCTGTCACATCCTGCGCCTCCGAGACCGCCTGGGGCAGGGCCTGCAGCAGGAATTGGGCTCTGCGTTCTTTGGCCGTAGGGTCCCCCTTGAAGCCGCGGCGCCATTCCCAGTTGCGGGTGAGAGCCACCACGTGTCCACTAGCCGTCTTGAAGTGAAAACCGTCTGAGCCAGTGGCACCACCCTTGTACTGCTTGGAGAGGTGTTCACGCAACAAATACACCGGCCCATACAGCCGCGTGAGGTTCCATCCCACCTGAGGCTCCCTGCCAAGGTCCTGCTGGAGCAGTCGTCAGAGCTCCTTGCAGAAGACCATGTACTCCCTGTTAGCGATGCAAGACAAGATGCGGCGCGAAAAAAAGTGTTTGGTGGCCTGGAGGAGCAGGGGGTGCTTGGGCTGGCCGTAGATGATGCCCTGGAAGATGTGATCCCCTCGCTGGCCGACGCCCATCAGAAGGTACTCCGACGGGGGCTGGACCGGCGGAGACGCCGGCAGGCCAAACTTCCTGCACTCATCCTGTTGCCCCGCTTGCCAGTCTGCGGCCATGTACGCACGCAGCTGATCAAAGGTGACAGTGAAGCAGAGCTTGATGTCCATGTAAAAGCCGCCCTGGTTATAGTGCTGGATGTAGCGGAATACATCAGCTCTGTGGGCAGGCTGCGTCAGGCGCTGAATCAAGTTCAGCCCAATGGACCCAGCGTGGTTGCGTACCACGTTTTCCAGATCACTGTCATTGAAGAACTGGCGGCGGAAGCCCTGAAACTGGGTATCGCACATTTCTCGAGGCCCTGGATGATCGTCGTGAGTGTAGGTCTGAAAGAGGTGCCTCGGCATCTCCCGCGTCATAGCCAATGGCTCCAAATACCGCCTCAATGCCCAGGGCTTCTGAGTGTGCCTGGCGGCCAATGACCCCAACTCCGAGACTATGGTAGCCCGGCAAAGCTCCGCCGTGGCGTGCATCTCCTGGTGAACATTGTCATCCGTAGAGTTCCAGGAACATATCACCAGGACTTGGAACTTGCCCGGCTGTTGTCGTCTCATGGTCCTCAGCGTGCGACCAACAAGCAGGCCGATAGCCTTCTCCGCAACCTCAGGGCGGAAGTGACAGTTGCTCTGCTTGTAGAGCTGGTCGACGAGGTACGGGGGCGTAGGCCATTCATCTTGGGGGGCTTGGAGGCTCATGATGGTTTGCTCCTGGAGCTCAAACGATCCGAGACCGTACTCGTCCCTGACACCGGCGATCCAATTGTACGAGCCTTGTTTGTGGGACGGCAAGCTCTCCCGCAAGGGAATGAGTCCCACATTCACCGGCCGATGAAAGGCTTCTAGAAAGCATTGCACCTTTGCTATGTCAGTGGCCAATGGCACCAGTCAGCCGTACAAATCTTTGGCAGAGCTGTCGCGTTACCAAGAGCTGGCGAGTTTAGCTTGTCCCGTGACTATTGGTTCATGACGTGTCTGTGCCATGTCTTGACAGGGCACGTCCCGACACAGCCAGCGACGCCGTTGCCCTTGTCAGTTAGACCTTAGCTTAGCTGTGTCCGGGCAGGTGAGAGTTTGCAGGTGAGGATGCTCGCTGAAGCTGTTAGCAGCAAGTTGCCTTTTTGAGTTCCGGCGAGCTAGGGCATGCCTGGTCCTGTCTGCTGGACAGCACGTTAAACGAAGCAGCTTGCAGAGCTGATGCGCATGTCCCATGGACCCTGCGCCAACGGTTATTTACCGGGCGTGCTTGTCTCCAGCTCCGGCAAAAAGCCAGCTCTGCAACGGTGCAGCTATCCTGACTAGGCCTTCTCATGGAGTAGGAAACCCAGGCTCATGAGCAGCTGTCGCGTAGGCTCGGACAGCGTCTGAGTTTCCTTCACGTGGAAGGCCCCGAGGATGAGCCTGCGTCCATACCAGGGCAACACTATGTGTCGTCGACGCGCATTGAACCGCAGGAAGGGGAGCGTTACCTCGTGGACGTAGCCCCGCATGCCGTTCTCATCCAGGCTGTAGTCTCCGTTCTGGGATTCGATGAACAGCTGGCCGCCCTCGAAGTTGGAGAGAGGGATGAGATAATTGGGGACATCGCGGCGATTGTTCGGGTCCGTGCGCAAGCCCATCGCTCTGTTCCGGGAAAGGAACAGCGTGGAGCGCGGTACGGGTCCGCACAGCGTGTGAATAACGGTGTTGAGAAGCCGAATCACCATGGGGTATCTCCGCGTCTGTGTCCTGAGTCCGGCCAATGGCCCCTGCGCGTATGCTCCGAAGAACATGGTCTTTTGGTCCTGCATAATGGGCTCCAGCGGAGAGGGATGTCTGGTGTCCGAGGTCTTGGGCATGCCGTTCAGTATCTCCTCGAACTGTGCAAAGGCGACCCATCGCCTGTGAAGGCAGTCTGTTGCAAGAACCTCGAGCGGGCACAACGTAAAGGGGTTGTCCCCATCCATTACGCGGGGCGGAAGGATCAGGCGCAGTCCCGGCTGCGCCCCTGCTGAGGCAGGCTGGTAGAGCTGAAGGCAGTGGTCAGGCATTCGTGCCTTTGTTGCAACTCCCTCTCCGCCTCGGTCAGGTGTATTGAGGTCTCTGCTGGAACTGGGATCGGGGCCACTTTTCTGCGGCGCTTAGTTGACGGGGAGGGAACAGCGCAATCTTCATCCGCAACATCAATCGGCATATCCGCCGGGGCAGGTGACAACCTCCACATGGGCCCTACTCTTATCGCCTCTTCCCTAAGGTGGCTGAGCCAGCTGCGCAAAATGACGTTCTGAGAACAGGAGTACTTGCTTCTGGCAGACTATCTGAATATCCGCATCTCTCAGACTGCAAGTTTTCGCTTCGAGTGCAGGATCAGAGAAAAGGCTCGTGGCAGGCGGACTGGGTGCCACCGCCCGTCACTAGGGTAGGCAATGCCGCCAGCTAGGAAAAACGTTATACCTAGCGGCTTGGCAATGCCTCCAGACTGAGGGCCCTCAGCCGAGCTACAACTGAAACTCCGGAGTCAAGGCTGCTCCATTGGCCAACGTCACAGCCGGTGCGCGAGGTCGCTAAGGGGGGATGTTTGCCAGGACAACTTGCCGGTCTCGTGTCGAAAGGTCCCAAAAGCGCTGTGCACTTCATGGCTGGTTTGTGCAAGGCAACGCCTGTCACTCCAAGCAATGCTCCCTAGCAGAAAGCCTGCATTATAGATTTCAAACCATAACGCTATTAAACTTCATAGTAAAAGTTGCAATCTTTATTGGACAAACTTGATGTCCAATCTTCATAGAAAAGTTCTTGAACTTCATAGAGAAATTCTTGAGGTTTGTTAGACAAACAAACAAATCGCCCAAGTTATGTGG